CCCGCTCTCCCATCCTCTGCCAGCCCACAAGCAGGAGAAGTGCAGGATGAAACACTCAGGCATTCGTGCTACGGCTCAAACAGAAAGTCACAGCCAGGAAATGTCCCTCAAGCCAGGTGCGGCGGTGCACACCTTGGCAGAGAACATCGACCTCCCAGGTGCCCCGAAGAAGCCCTTCCAAAGCATTAGAGGGGGCAAAATTAGCAGGGACAGGAAACAAACTCCTTCCACCCCAGCAATTATTCATTTTTAGAATATTCTGATTTTTTTGGTACAGGATTGCTCAGGTTCCCAGCAACTTGTCTCCTGAGCTCTGAGCATTTGGGACTTGAGAGACATCTGCACTGCTATTTCATCCGGGTCCTCCTTGACCTCTAACTCACCTTCCCTCACTCTGGGCCTTTTGCAAGCTCTTTTCAGCCCCTGCTTAGGGAGAAAGCAGACGATAACGTGCAGCAAACTGACAGCGGACTTTGCAGATCACAGTGTGTCAGCACTTACCACACAAAGGGCATTCTTCAACATCTTTTTCCATGACCTCTAAATATGCAAACATTTTACACAATGCCTGATAACAGCCTGTCACCTGACACGTCTTCATACTCCAGAGTGCCCACAACCTGCCTGCTGATTGCAAGACTGGCTATTTTAGAAAGGGGAAAACAATATTGACAGCTTTTTTTTTTTTTTTAATGTCATAATATATGAAATGCTTCTTATAGAGGAGAAGCCAATTAATGAAAACCACTGGAAATTTTCCACCCAGTTTTTGCTCCTGCTTTCCTTCCTTTGGCTTTTCAGACTGACACATCATGGGAACGGAGAAGAGTAAAGTGAGACAGTGGGTGCAGAAAATGAGGTGAACTTATTTCAACAGCTTCTAGTCTAGAGAGGGATTGCTGAAGCTACAGACCTTTATGAAAAGGGTATTTTTGCATGGCTACTTCACCCATATGCATCAGGGACAGCTTTGTTAGCTTCCCAGCACTAGGTCTGCAGCAATCATGCAAGCTGGCAGAGACCTCTCCATGCAGGGCTTCATGTCTCTACACTCGCTACACAACAAAATGGATTTCACTTGGGTCCATAGGAATTTGGCAATTATATTATTTTCTCTCCCTCAAAGTATCTTGGAGTTAGGATTAGGAAACAGGAAGGGATTGATCAACTAAAATCTGGAGCTACTTTGAAAGAGTAAATATGTGGCTGCACAACCACCTTTTTTGAGGAGCTGTCATCTCTTGGGTTAGGAAGCCAGCTACAAAGAGGAGCCCATGTACCAGTGCACACACATATATTGTGCTGATGGCAACATAATGCTTAATTGGGTTCATTTCCTCCTAGCAAGTATTATATGGGGCTGCAGCAAGGTTCAGCACTACTCTTGCCAACTCTATTTGCAGGTCTTCCATATCTCACCTATGTACAGGGAGCAGATCGGTTAAAGTCCAAATAACATTACCCTTTTCTAACTGTCCCCTGGATTTTTGAAATCATTTTGGACAGGGTGTGACTACGACCCTTGCTTGGCTCACTTTGACTTCATCAGCATCTGATGGGATCCACAATCTGGTGCACTGGCACTTGGGTCCATGGCAGTCCCCTGTAGTTCCCCAGCTGCCATGGGTGGCAGCGGAGACCACCTGCTCCATCTCCTCATTAAGCCAGTTTCCACATTGCTCACAGGGGTGTGCTCCTTGAGGTATGATACTGAAGTACTGGAATTGCTCTATTTTGCACCAATTTTTTTTTTGTTTGATCTCTTGCTCTTAGGCATCCTTGCTTTCCACTGTTTCTTTCTGCTGTAGCTCAGCTCCAATATCCCTGGGACAGCTGCCCAGTGCTTTTACAGGCTCTTTGCAAGACTAATAGTCTAGAAGTTGTATTTTTACTGCTAGGGTTTGCTTTCCAAGACCAAGATCTGACATGCAAGCTTTAACACAGGAATAACAATAACAACTGAGTTAATGTTTTCCCTCACTTGCCATCTAGCTTGTGGCTGCCATACTATTTGCTTCGGGTTAAAAAGGGGGCTACTTTGCCATTTACGTATCCGGAGCTGGGTTTCCCTCTGGGAGCCCTGGAAGGACAAGACCACCTTCTGGCTTGCAGCTCCATGAGAAGCTGTCAGGAACAGCTGAAGACATCAGAAACGATGCAGATGTCAGGAGCGTCAACCAGTCTGTCTACTCCCTGCGCTTGGTCCAAACCCACGGCTTCCAGAACGCGCGTCTCCAGTGGCTGCTTCTGAGTCTAAGTGTTCCCCTGCCCCCATGTTGTCTTGGAGGTGAGGCTGGTCCTCCTTGCCTTGCAAAGGTGGAAGAACTGGCAGCACGCTAAAAGGCCTATATGTGAAGCCTCTCTCTTGTACAGTGTAGAGGGAAATGTTAACATTTGTAATCCCAATACCCATGAAATGATTGCTAGGTCAAAGATTCACACCACCACAGTACTCACTGTAGAATCAGAAGCAGGAAGAAAACCTCCACCCCGCTGAAGGATCAAGCGTACCTAAACTATGCCTAACATGCTTGCTGAACCTGCTCTTATAACAAATCTCCAGCAGGGATCCTACACTCTGCCTAGAAAGCCTCGTTCGGAGCTTCCCCCATCAGCCTGGCCTGTCCCAGACCTAGCTGCTGACACCCCTTTAATCCCCCCATAAATCCACATCTGCGGGCAGTGCTGAGCAAGCTTTTAGCAGAAGGTTGTTGTTGATTGCCTTTCTGCTACCCAGCTATTCCTCCCATTTGCATGCATGCACATATTTGATGTCTCCTCTTCCCACACACTGTATGTACCTCGAGGTACATTCATTTGCTTGCTTTCACCATTTCTCCAGCTCTAGCCCTGTGCTGCCCTCCAAAACACCTGGAATACCTTTCCAGCCACATGG